CACAACCAATACTCTCCCCCCCCCGGTAGATTAGTGCCCCCCCCATATCATCATCTCAGGTTCTCCCCACCCCAATTCTCTCTCCTCCTCCTCCCTTTCCCCTTCTTTATGTTGGACTCACATGTACCTCCCAGGGTGTGGTGTGCCCTCCCCCCTGACTACCTATGCTTCTATCCGTTTAGTGTGAGATAAGTGTCTATTCTTCTATTCCTGCTGTGCTGATTGTACTTACCTCAGGGGACTCATGTTATACCTATCCTTTTGAGATCGGCTTACCTCGCTTAACATGATTCCTTCCAACTTTTCCCACAAAACGACGTGCTTCATGTCCATGCTTTTCAGTGCTGCATAGTCCTCCATTGTGTGTATGTGCTAGAGTTTACTAATCCACTCATCTATCAATGGAAACCTAGGCTGTTTCCAAGTCTTTGCAATTGTGAATTGCGCTGCAATAAACATTGGAGTGCAGATGACTGGTCATGTTTTATTTGTTACCTCCTCTGGGTATATGCCCAGTAGAGGGATGACTGGGTCATAAGGTAGATCAATTTCCATTTTCTTTAAGCATCTCCAGATTGCTTTCCACAGTGACCATACATATGTGTACGACCACCAGCAGTGGAGGAGGGTTCCTATTTCACCACATCCCCTCCAACACTTGTTGCTTTCTGATTTTCTGATTTGGGTTAGCTTCAGGGGTGTTAGGTGGTATCTCACAATTTTAATGTGCATTTCTCTTATGGCTCATGAACAGGGACACTTTCTCATATGCTTGTTGGCCATATGGATCTCCTCCCTAGTGAAAGTTCTTTTCAGTTCTTTTGCCCACTTCATTAGGCGGTTAACGGATTTCCTCTTTTTGCAGGCCATGAGGGTGTTGTAGATTTTAGTAATGAGCCCTTTGTCTGATGTGTCATTACTAAAAATCCTCTCCCTGTCTGTAGGCTGCCTTGTCACCCTCTTGGTGAAGTCTTTCAAGGCACACAGGTATTTTATTCTTATTAAATCCCATTTGCCGATTTCTAGTTCACCTGTGTGTGTACCCTTCCCTCTTGCAGTGAGCCTATGAATTACCTGGGCCAATGATCTTAGGTTTGTCCTGATTCCTTTCTTGATGGTCCTCATGGTTTTGGGTTTTACTTCTAGGTCTGTGATCCACCTTGAGTTAACTCTTGTGCATGGGGTGAGGTAAACGTCCTGCTTCATTTTTCTACATGTGGATATCCACTGTTTCCAGCACCACTTGTTAAAAAGGCCATCTACTTCCCACTTGATGGTTTTGAAACCCTGGTCAAAGATCAGTTGTCTATATGCTGATGGCTTTATTCCTGGGCTTTCTCTTCTTTTCCACTGGCCTGACTATCTATCATTGTGCCAGTACCGTGCTATTTGGCCACTGTAGCTGTGTACTAGGTATTAAAATTGGGTAAGTTGACTCTTCCAACGTTGTCCTCCTTGAGGAGTTCTCTGCTAATTCTGGGCTTCTTCCCTCTCCATATGAAACTGGTGATCAGTTCTTCCAATTCTTTGAAGAAGGTTGTTGGTATTTGTATCAGAATAGCATTGAACTTATAAAATGCTTTGGGTAAGATTGTCATCTTTACTATGTTGACCCTTCCAATCCATGAGCATGGGATGTTCTTCCATTTGTGGAGGTTGCTTTTGGTTTCCTGTAGTAGGGTCTTGTAGTTTTCCTTGTATAGGTTTTTAGGTTTTTTTGTGTGTTGTTGTTAAATATAGTCCTAGATATTTCAGTTTGTTCTTGGCTACTGTGAAGGGTACTGCCTTCTTGATATCCTCTTCCGTGGTCCTGTCTCATGTGTATAGAAAACCTACTGACTTCTGTTTGTTTTTAAGAGAGGCCATACAGAGTGCTCTAAGATGACAATCAAGGAGTATATTTAAAGTGACAGTTGAGTAAAAATTTTGCAGGTTCTAAGGTTAAGTAAAAATTTTGAATCCACTGTGTGTGAGCTCTAAAAGTAGGCCCGCCAGGTGGAGCCACTTTAAAGAGTGAGTTTTGTCTTGTATCTAAAGTGAATACAAGCATATGTTTAAATTGCAAGGTTTTTTTTAATCATTTTATTAGGAGCTCATTCAACTCTTATCACAAGCCATACATACATCAATTATGTAAAGCACATTTGTACATTCATTGCCCTCATCATTCTGAAAACATTTCCTCTCCACTTAAGCCCCTGGCATTAGGTCCTCATTTTTCCCCTCCCTCCCCGTTCCCCCCTCCCTCATGAGCCCCTGATAATTTATAAATTATTATTTTGTCATATCTTTAAATTGCAAGATTTTTACCAGCTAGAGAATCTGTTTTACTAAAGTGGTTTGGTCTCTAATTACTTATAGGTTTTGAAATTTTAGAAATAAGTTCTCTTTAAAGTGGCTCAAATTTTCAACTCTTATGTACATAAAATTGAGTTGAAGTTCATTGTGCATTACCTCCCTTTATCCAAATTTTCAGTTAAAGCTTCATATAGCAAAGTTGCATCCAATTCTGACACTATTGTCTAAAATTTTTAAACTGTATGGTAGTCACTAAAAGGAAAAATAAAAGTCAAAGCAAATTAAGGTCACAAATTTCAGTGCCTTCCATCCAGTCCAAGTCTTCTTGATATAGCAAATTGTGCCCTTTCCAGTTTGGTTCCTTCTGGACTCCCTATGTTTAATGACAGTTACCTTTTAAATTTTACACACAATTGATTTAAATCAGGGCTCAACTCTTATGATTCCTATTTCCTCTTGTGTTCCAATTACAAACTAATATTTCAATGAATGTTCATATCTTCAAGTAGTGCAGGCCTGTGTATGTACTTGCTTGATTCAATTTGTTGTGATCTTATTGGGTTTTGAATTGAAATTTCGCTATTTTGTAGATAAAGGAAACTTAAGTATATTGCTGCAGTTTTGGTTTTCAAACTGTTCTAAAAATACATTTTTAAAATAGACTAACACATTCTTTAAAAGGAGGCATTTAAGTGTGTTTCTAATATTGTATATGGGCTTAGGTTTTATAACCAATATAAAAAGCTACTATCTGTGTAAGCCCGGGTAGACTACAGAAACAAATCCATAGAAACTCATATGTGTATAAGAGAGAATTTTTTATATAAAGGGTAATTGTACATTAAGAAAGCATCCCAACCCAGTCCAGTCCAAGCCCATAAATCCAATATTAGCCCATATGTCCGATACCAAGCTATAAAAACCTCTTCAGACTCATGAAACACATGCAGGACGATCACAGGCCAGTGGGTAGAGGGTGTTTGGATCCAGTGGCGTTGTGAACATCTCAGTGCTGGCAGGGGCCTCCACGTAGTTTTTCCAGTTCCCAGAGTATCACCATAGTGTCATGTGTCTTGTCAGTAGAGCATCTCCAAGAGAGAGAGGGGAGGAGAAAGAAAGAGACTATCTCCTGCCTCCAAGGAGGAAAATCCAGAAAATCTCAGGAGAAGGCCATACCCACACAGAGGTCTCATTGGCTATAATCCGATTGACAGACTAGACTCCACCCCTTCACTCCTAATCCTAAATCCCAAATTAACATTGGATTGTAACCACAACACTCTCAAAAATGGTAACACATTGTGAAACTTATTTTAAAAAATAACTAATCTGCTTAGTTTTGTTTCTGGATGGTTACATTTGGAGTTATTTTTCACATGTCACCTCCAGTGGAAGTGACCCACGAATCACCCATTCATTGTGTGTTGACTATCTCTTTCCCATGGAAACAGCACAGGATGACCAATGACAGCACCAGTTTGACAAGTATCTTGTAGCATAATAAGTAGTGCAGAATATACGACATATGCAATCACCTAAAAAAGAGCCACTTACATGAAAAAGTGGTGTGGTTATGATTTTCATGAAACAAACACAACTTTGAGTTTTAAAAATATGGCTTAATCTTGAAAACATAGCTATGAAAGATCACAATCAAAGTAAACCTGGAAGTTTTAGCATATTAGATAGATTGTGGTTCAAAGTGAAATGTCTAACAGAACCAATGGATAATGAGCCAAACTTTTGAGAACACAAGTATTTTTACCTGTGTATAATGTGACATTTTTTCTAAAAGAAATCAGTATATAAGTAAATAAATGTGATGGTACTATTTATAAAAAGCAGGCATGATTGGAGAGTGGCCGCGGAGCTGCTGGCCCGCAGAAGAAGAAGGAGAAGGAGAAGAAGAAGAAGAAAAAGAAAAAAAAAAGCAGGCATGATTAATGTGTTCATTTGCTTAGCAAATGGGCCTCAAGTACTTACTGTGTGTGCCCGGCACTGTTCTAGGCACTGGAGACCAAAAGCAATGAGAAAGAGTGACAATGTAAACCCTTATTAAGCTCATGTTGTGGCCATGTGGCACGAGGCACCACGCTGTGGTGTAAGTCTGTGATTGGCTGAGGATCTTCTGTAGAGATGGAAAGCAGCCACTAATGGGCAGATTTGGCAAGTAAAGGAGATGCAGAGTGATGTGAGAAAACTAAGAGAGGACTAGACACCTTTAAAGTGATTTGCGTATGTGTGCAAGGGGTGGTGTCAGCAGTATTTCAAATAGCATGTGCTATACTATCAACTGAGGACCCCTGTGGCTAAGCGCCACCTCCCTAAATGACCCGGTGGAAGCCTCTGCCTCGGGCTCCCTATGACTTCAGGAGCCTCTGCTCTATGGTGGATTTACTTGGAGGAAATGGCTTTTATGCACTGAGCCCAGACAATCATTGAGCAATTCCTAGTTTGGATGAACAAGTTCTCATGAAGAGAAACAAAAACAAACAATAAAAATGAAAGGACGATCACTAAAAGGCGATCTTACCTTACTATCCCCCTCTATCTGACCCCGCCCCACCCTACTCCAGCTTCTGTGTCAGTCAGCCATCTAGCTCCTCTGTCCCATGGGACGTGATCTTTTAGAATTAATTTCTCAACTCGCCCCAATGGAAGTCATTGTTTTCTTACTGATTTGAACTTTGATTTTCCTACAGGTATTCTATGACAGTGCCTAGAGACAAAATCATAGGTGAAGCGCAGTTGCTGGACGACAGAGTGCCGAGGCAAGATAAGGGCCTACAGACCACCCAAGCACTTCACCAGTACCAGCTCCACAGGAGTACACATCTTCCTGGAGTTTCCACTCAAGTTCCAGGTGTTGAAGGACTTTCTGATTTCCCTCCAAACTTGTTACGTGCCTCAATGAATCCGGCTAACATCGAGCTGCCCATTGAGAATGAAAGCAACCATGAAGGCCGAGTGGCCCCTCTCCAGGCAACACTCCTAAGCAGTCCTGCTACACCACTGCCTTGCTGGGGTTTAGCTGGAAGGAATTTCACCCGGTGTAGGATAATGAAGAAAACAACACAGGCAGAGGGAAAATCCCACGATGTATTGAAGAAAATGATAAAACCACCTGTAGGGCAGAAAGTACCAATTCAGGGAGCAGGTCCATCTATTTCAGAGTCAGTGCATGGGAGCGCAAAATTTACTTCCATTAAGCCTCCATATGCTATCCCCGCATCACTAGTTTCTGACAGTGTCTACATGCAGCCCTACATTGATAGAGTAATTCATTTGTTGGCATTAAAGGATTACAAAATCTCAGAATTGTCTGTTCGACTGCAGAGGGATGGAATTCACAAGAAAGACAAATGTACCATTGGAAAAGTTCTGGAACAGGTAGCCATTCTGAATCCCCGCAATTTTACGTACACCTTAAAAGACTATTTATTCAAAGAGGTGCGACGAGACTGGCCTGGGTACACGGACTCAGACAGGCAGCTCCTGGACTCGGTGCTTGCCAGGAAAGGTCAAGCTCAGACAGCTCCTGCCACCAAGTGTCTGCGGTCGTCCAGAGATTCTAGCACAGGCGGCACTCCCCCAAAGAAAGTGCATTTCCCTTCAGCTGCTGTTGATTCTTTGGAGCGGGGGAAAGGTAAAATATCTCACCTGACCACGGTCGCGCAGCCACCGTCAACTACTCGATTGAATAAAGGTAAAATATCTCACCCGATGATGGTCGTGCAGTCACCGTCAAATGCCCGATTGAATAAGGCCAGGAGGAAACCTGCAACTTCTGTAAAATCTCCGGCAGTGACAGCAGAGTCCACTTGTGCACTTCTGCCCTCATCCCACCGTGCTACTTCCAGTTGTTCCTGGCCTGGCACCCCAGAAGATGATCATGTCTGTCAAGATAGCAGCACCGTTGAGTGCCAGCAGGATGAGTCTAATACCGCGAAAAGGTCAACCTGTGTGAAATATCCAATGCTCTTAAAGAAGACACATCCAACTCTCCATTTGAACAAGACGCACAAACATGCATTTATAGAAAACCAAGCAAACAGCCAAACATGCACAGTGACAAAGGAGACACAGGAGACAGATTCTCCAAGCCATGAAAGTTATGTAGAGCCAGACCCCAGCGAAGACGGTAGAGAGCTTTACCCCACACCTCAAGACGACACTTCGACATCAGAGGTCCCAGATTATTTGACCAATTACGTTACCGTCGTTTCATCTGAGCAACGTCAGCGCTATGTACAGGATTTTACAGCAGAGTCTGAGCACTACCATGCCCTTCGTGACACTCTGTACACTTTATCCTTGCGCATTTTTGACCTCAAGGCAAAAGAGGTGCAATTTTCTCCAGGCACAAAAGAATATGAGGATATCAATAAAGAAATGTCACGAGAATTTCAGAAGCTGAAGCAGAAAAGTCCCAATTATCATGCGGAAGAAGAGAGATGTTATTATCTTTATAACAAGCTCACTCACATTAAAAGATTAGTGCGTGATTTTGACCAAAAGCAAAGAGAGTCGTGTTACTAAAATTGTGGTGAGACCAAAATTAACTTGAACTTACTTTTTGAAATGATTTGTTCTAAGATTTCAAAGGGATACAACGTCCATTTAAACATTCAATATTACTATTTTAAGTTTTGTTTTACCTTTTTATGCTTATGTTTATTTTATTATTTTTCCTTTTCTGTTCATTTTTATTTCTCAATTTGTTTTTAATTTTTTTCCACAGGTTACTTTGATTTTCTGCCCTTTTGAAACTATTTATCTGTTTTCGTTTAGTCTCAAATTTTTTTCCCTCTCTCTTAAATTGGAGATCTACTGTTCGAGACATGGCTTCATAGATGTGTATACCTTTATAGAATAAAGACCTATTTTGCTTTCAAATAACCACAGCCTGTTTGTTGTCCTTTCCCTTACTCAAAGTCTTCCTTAAAACATAGTTTGAAGAGTTGTAAAAAATACCACGATTCTTCAAGCAGTACATGTTTTCACTTCATTAATGTATATGTTGCCCTTTCTTTAGATTGTCACTTTTTTTTAATCTTGGAGAAAAACACAAGTTATGTGATCAAGCTATTGATCGATTTATATACACACCCATACCAAACCAAAAATCAACCTCACTGCTATTGAGTAAATGGTGGGTCGTGGTGACCCTATAGGACAGGGTAGAACTGCCCCTGTGGATTTCTAAGACTATAACTCTATACTTTAAAAAATTTTTTAGCAGATAGGACACTTTTCTATGCTACTCAAAGAAACACACTTTATATATAAAGGCAAAAATAGACTACAATGGCTGGGGCAAGATCAAGCCAAGGGCAAGCAGAAAAAAGCAAGAGTGGGAATTTTGATCTTTGGCAATGTAAACATCAAGGCAAAATCCATCTTGAACAACAAAGAAGGACATTACATACATAATGAGTAAAGCTATAATTGAATAAGAAAACTAACATTCACCAGTGAAAGAAGCTCAAATATATTAATCAAACTTATAGAACTAGAGGAAATAGATAATACTAAAATAATAATAGGTTACTACAATATACAACTAAAGGAAGAACACACCATCAGGAAGAAAACTCAATATAGTCAGAGAAAAACTAAACACATTAAGACAGCAATTCTATATGGGAAGAGGAAGCCCGATATTTCTACTTCAGAGCAGCTGGTGGTTTCAAACTACTGACCTTGCTGTTATCAGCCTACACACATACACAAACACACACATCAAGTTATCTATTGTTGTGTAACATTCCTATAAACTTAGCAGCCAAAACAACCATGTTTTTTTTTAGATTGCATTTTTTAGTTTTAGATTGTATGTTCTTTACTCATGATTTCTTTTTAATCATTTTATTAGGGGCTCATACAACTCTTATCACAATCCATACACATATCAATTGTGTAAAGTGCATTTGTATATTCATTGCCCTCATCATTCTCAAAACATTTCCTCTCCACTTAAGCCCCCGGCATTAGGTCCTCATTTTTCCCCTCCCTCCCCGCTCGCCCCTCCCTCATGAGCCCTTGATAATTTATAAATTATTTTGTCATATCTTGCCCTGTTCGACGTCTCCCTTCACCCACTTTTCTGTTGCCCGTCCCCCAGGGAGGAGGTCACATATAGTTCCTTGTAATCGGTTCCCTCTTTCCTACCCACTCTCCTTCTACCCTCCCTGTATTGCCACTCACACCACTGGTCCTGTAGGGATCATCCGCCCTGGATTCCCTGTATTTCCAGTTCCTATCATCTGTACCAGTGTACATCCTCTGGTCTAGCCAGACTTGCAAGATAGAATTCATGTCATGATAGTGGGAGCGGGGAGGAAACATTTAGGAACTAGAGGAAAGTTGTATTTTTCATCGTTGTTACATCGCACTCTGGGCAAGACTTAATTGGGTCTTCTGCTTCAGAGTCTTGAATGAGGCTGCAATCAAGGTGTTGGTCAGGGCGAGCATTTTATCTGAGACTCAATTGAAGGAGATTTTGGGCAAGATTCCATTTCTTTTGGACTGCAGCTCCAAGGCCTTACTAGCTGTTGGCGAAAACCCTCCCTCAATTCCTTGCCATGTCTGCCTTTTCATGAAGCAGCTTACAACTTGGTTGCCAGCTTTATTAAAGTCAGAAAGGGAGAAAGCTGTCTGTTAGCATGAGAGACATTAAAATCTTCTGTAACACAATTATGGACATGGCATCCCATCACCTTTGCCACATTCTATTGGTTAAAGTAAGTCAAAAATCCAATCCACACCTAAAGGGAGGTGAGTACCCAAACCCACTGCTGTCAAATAGATTCCAACAGAAATGCATGGAGGCAGGATCACTGCAGGCTGTTTTAGCACCTATCCACCACAACTGTCATCTTTCTTAAGAAACTCAGAAATATCTCAAGTTGTCACCTCTTTGTATCACCCCACTAAACTGCTGGTTATTGGATCACTCCTCCTTAAATAAGAGATGGTCATTTTCTTATAAAATACCGTACATACTCTTTATAAGCCGAGTTTTCAGCAGGTTTTTGTGGTAAAATTAGGTTCCTTGGCTGATATTCGGGTCAGCTTATACTCGAGTATATACATTACTTTCCTGGCAGTACATACATTTCTACCAAGTTAGAATGTCTCTCAATGCAGGCCTCAAAAATTCATATTGCAAGAGATGGCCTTTCCGAAAGTAAACATTTTGATCCAAGATTCTTCTTTAAATGAATATATAGCAATTTTATTACATTCTTTATTATTATATGATTGACTGATTATCCCCCAGACTGCCTTTACAATGAAAGTAATATTTTCATTTACTGAATGATTGCATTTATTATAAGGGATAATGTTCTAGACCATTTTTTATTGTTCTTCACCAAAAGTCATATGAATTTCTTAGGGCTACATATTAATTTATTAGCATTTACATTATATTTCCTTGAAATGACCTGAGGAAGTATCTTATATGCTTAATAAAATGTCAGTGTTGTTTCTGAAAGAGCATGATAGCTTATTTGCTTGATGAGCCGTATATTTTGACCAAGATGGGATTTTTGCCTCATGTCACTCAAGATTTCCCAGTTTATGCCAGGAGGCTAGGCTGAAGAATGCTAGACCTCAGCAATCTTGTCATACTTCTCTAGAGAGATAAAACCAAATTGCTGATAATTTAATATATTTATTTATAAAGATAATTAGATATATAACAAGGAATGAACTGTTAAATCATATACAGTTAAATATATAATACAAGAAAGAAACAGTTAAATTTTAAAGCACTACAAATGGCTCAATTCAATGTGAGAGACTAGCAGTCCTTCCAATCCAGTCTGCTGCCAGATCTTCCTCTATTTATAGAGCGAGCTAGGCTCTGTCAGCACAGCAGCCAATCAGAAGGCAGGTCACCAACTGCCAGCCAGGTCAACAACTGCCAGTGCCCAGCTCCAGCGATGTCTTAAAGGGACCTCAACTTACAGCGACACAGTCCACAGGCTAGGCGTCCCACAGGTAGTGTAGCCTTTAAATTGAGGCACAGGACAAGCAAGGCAGCCGCACACTGGTCCGATGATCACAAAGCGAGAGACAAGAAAGGCAAGGCTCACTGAGCCATTTATCTCTCCACCCTTCAGTTAATCCCACTTGTATTTATCGGCCAGGCTGGCACAATAAACTATTTCAGAGGGTCTCCTCACGCAGAAAGTGTCTTGTCCCATTCTAAGCCTGCTGAAAACTCGCACTGTCCTTGAGTCCTCGCCGAGGCATAGTGACCCTATGCGACGGGATAGAACCACCCCGGAGGGTTTCCTAGAGTGTAACTCTTTTTTCCCCACATTTAGACAATTTTCTTTAATTAACACTGCAACCCTACAGTTCTAAGTACCAGAAAGAATCAAGAGGAAAAATCATTGTTGTCAATTTTGAAGTAAGTATGGCACTATAAAGAAAACTTGGCAAAGTGAAACACTGCTAAATCAAAGTGTATCATTGGCCTGATACCTATGACAGATATGCATTATACATGTGATGCACATGTACAGCTACTCTTTTGGTAGCACACATATGTCGCTTTCTTCAATGTGGCCCAGCCTAACAATTGTGAGGATGCTTCTGGATTGGGCAGTGTTTCCTTCTGTTGTCCATCAAGTTGCTATGGGTAGAAAGTAACTTGCCAGCGCCTAACCACAATAACAAACACTGAGACAGGTAGGCACATACTGCGGAACACAGGACATGGGAACACCAATAAGGACCCGGGAACCAGGACTACTGACAAGGAAGAAGGAATCAAAATAGCTGAACACTTAACTTGTATTTTTAACCTCCAAAACGGTGAGAAAATATATTTCTGTTCTTGAAAGCGACCCACTTGTGTAGTACAGACCCCACCCCTGTGAGGGACCAAGAACTTGGGGATTCAGAGTATGGAATGAAGTCACTATGCTGATTTTCATAGAAGTCCATACCAGGTAATGTGCTCAAAATTTACCAGCATGGTCTGATTTCATTTTCACCTCAACAGGTAAGTAAGGTAGTATGATGTCAAATTACAGAGAAGGAAGGTTGTATCATGTCAAGTTACAGAGAAGAAGCTGTAGCCCAGAAATAGACACTGTTTTACTCAAAATTTTTGAGACTAGGAAATTAGACCTGACTTTGTTTTTGAACGTGAATTCCAACTTGGCGTTTTACTGGTAGGAATTCCAAATAAACAGGTAAGCACAGCAGGTAGCAAGAGAGATGAACTGTCTTTTTTACCTTTGTGTCAGGAGACTAGATCTTATATTTATTGCTGAGGTTGGATCCTGATTTTGCCAATTTCAATATAACTTTGGACAAGTTACGGGAGAGCTTTCTGATTGATTTTCCATCTGTATGATGGAAACTGTAATACTCAGCCTAGTGGAAGATAAACACTTCAAGCAGAGCTGCTCTTCTGATGATTACTGTTCCCTCTTGGATGTGGGCAACCCAGATGGGCAATTGTGTGTTACAGAGCAATGGACAACAGCCTTGGCTTCATAGTTCTCTGTAGAACAGTG